AGAAGATCTCAATGGCAGAGTCTGATTTTGACAAAGACTTTGACATGTGAGACCCAAAAACTCTAAAGAGAAGAGGAACAGGGGAGACCTGGCCAGAATATGGTCTTTTTTCAGAGAGTCCCTAGTCCTTGCAGGCAGGAGAAGGTGCCACGTGCCACGCTGGGGGCAGAGTAGCAGCCTCCAAGCCTGCTGTCACAGAGCAAAGACCGTCACAATGTGCATAACGCCAGATCCCCAGCTGCCCAGTGCAGGGATTCACTTCTTATCCTCAGACTCCATCTGCTGCGACATGCCTTTCTATGTCACCGCAACACTGGTCAGGTCATCTCCCAGGCCTCTCTGCCCTTTCTACGTCTGTATCCTACCTCTGGTCCCTGGCTCTTTGTGGCATGGACATCAGTAGGCAATGCAAATTACTGAGAAAGCCTCATAGATTCTGAAATTTCTCTTGCGTGTGCGCTCTCTCTCTCTCTCTCTCACACACACACCCCACTCCAAGGATGCTAAAATGCCTGAGATTTCACTACACTCACTCTTTTGCCTTAAGGAATTAAAGAGATTACAACTGAACCTTTCTTACACCTGGACAAAATTTACTTTGTGAGAATCAGTTTTCTCTGGGGACCTAGAATAGCCTAGTAAAACATGGGTCATGGACTAGATGGATTTTGACCAGGAAATGTGGTTAGGATGTGGTCTGGAACATGGGGTGCTTTAGTAGCCACAGTGACGTTCTTGGGTGGCCAGGGGGCAGCCAGCTGTACTGTGCTGGGTACGCAGTAGGGGAGAAAGTGGGGGAGGGAGGAAGCCAAAAGGAAGACAGAGGACAGCGAGGCCACAGCTGCACACACTGGGTCAAGATCACCTGCTGCTCCCTCATGCTGCTCCCCCACCCCCCGCCTCCAGGCAGGTACTCTCTCCCTGTGGACTACAGAGCACCTGTGCCAAGACCACTGGCCCAGAGGCCACTGCCCTCAGTGGATGGTAAATAGTAAACATGTAAATACAGGGAGAGGGGCTCAATCTTCTATCATGGAGCTCATTTCCAGAGGGAGGAGGACACTTGTCCAAACTCTTTTCAGGAAAGAACATTACCCCTCAAGATCTTCTCCTAAGAGACAGGTGCTTGTCCAAACTATTTTCAGGGAAGACTGTTATCCCCCAAGAATTTCTGTTAGGAGAGGGCATTGCACAATGGGGAGGAAACTGGGCTGCAAGTTTTAATGCGAATTCTTATGTCCCTGCATTGACACTGACTCACTGTGTGACCTTGGGCAAGTTCCTTCACCTCCTGGAGAGGCCCTTTCTTTCATGTAAATGTCATGCCACCTTTGACTTGTTTGCTGCCAGTTTTTGCAGGAAAAAGCACCTTGGGAAGTGTGACTAAGGAGAGTCTCCTAGCCTCTTAGCCAGAGGAAGGGACTTTCATGCTCAGGCCCTGTGAACACTTTGGATCAGCTCCTCTCATGTTAATTCCCTCCTTCTTCTTACCAATCCTGCTGTCTCTGTATAAGGGCACAGCATGGCAGAGCACATATAAAATTGCTTTCTAAAAGGCACACTCACGTGTCCCGGCTGGGATGCCTTTGTGTAGAGCTGGGCTGATTCATCTCAGAGGTCTAATTCTAGCCTTGGCACTGGCTTGCAGAGGCATCATTAGGAGGGCTTGGGAGGGCAGCATCAGTGACTCTCCACGGTGGGGCAAACATAGCCCTGCCTCCATGTGCCAAGGAGAAGCGTAATGTCCAGCACGCTTCAAAGTCAGCAGAGAGGAGAAAGCAGGTGTTCCCCACTGTGCATGTTTTCCTATCAGTTTACTATCTGTGTGCAGCCCCCTTGATGGTAGAGATACTGCCTGGTTAGCTCGCTCTCATGTCCTTTGCATGTGGAATGGCACGGGAACATAGTAAGCTACTAAGAAATGGATTTTGAGCCAACGAATGAATGGCAGTGTGCTTGGTACAAGTGCGATGCTGCAGAGCCCAGTCCTAAGAGTCTGGCTCTCACCCCCAAGGCTTCCCCTAAACTGATCAAGAGCAAGACAGTCAGAGGTCCTGGGCCCTGGCACAGTGGTTCGGGTGATCATTTGCTTCAGTGTGAATGTCCCCCAGGTGGTAGAAGGAAGTGTGAAAGGAGTGGTGCTGACAAAGAGTTCCCTCACCTTCACTCCAAAACAGAAAGTAATAAATGTTAGTGACATCAAGGAGAGCAAGAAGGGGTCAGTTCCCGCTGTGCACCGGTTATGGGTCTTTTCACGGGTCTATAATGTAACTGACCCCAAAAGATACATTCCCTGACCTCTAATCATTTACAACAAAAACAAGTGTTACCTTTTATACTGACGATGGGTTAAAATGTGTTCCGGTTCCTTTATACTTCACTATGATGCTTATGACCCAGGACCTGAACTGGGACAGGGATGAAGGTTTACTTCGGTTTCCCATTGGCCTCTTCCAAAGCCTGGAAGCGTAAGCTTGACATGAGTGACCATTCATTGAGATCTACTGTGTGTCAGATACTAGATGAGACAACATCCCCAAGGTATTTGTAGGCTAACAAGGGCCCCTGGCAAATAAACCATAGTTATAACAGGGCTGCAGGAATTCAGGTGAGTGATGGTGGAGGGCTGAATGGGGGTGTTCCCAGTGGGAACGGAGAGAAGTGACAGAGTTGGGAGAACTTGAGGGGAAGGATGCCAAGCCTTAATTAGTAATGGGTGCTTGAGGCAGAGAAGGAGAGGGAAAGTTAGTATCGCTCCCAGGTTTGTGGCTTGGGCAGCAGAGTGGGGCTCCTCACCACTGAAGAGGAAAAATGGCAGATTGGGGGAGATGGAAGATGAGTCCAGCTTTAGATGGATTGAAGGTGAGGTTCCCACGTGCCACCGAGGGAGAAAATTTCATGAAGAAGTGGACTTGTTTAATACTAGATGTCATAGATGGAATGGAAGAGTTTCACTGTTTTAGTATTTTTAAACACCGATAATGTTCTAAAAAGACCCCTCCTTATATGAAGACTGATCTGCAGTCCTGGCATCCCTCCTAAGTCTTATTTTTGAAACAAACATCACATCAGCCCTGAGTGCAACTGAAAATGAGCCGAGCCAGAGCAGTGGGGAATATGGTCTGTCTGGCTCTGTATTTACCAGTGCCCTTCTTCAGTGACCCCTGCTCCAGCTTCCTGCACTGTCAGCTCTGAAGGATATTTAGTCTTCCCATCATCAAATTATTTAACCCTCCCACGGCCTTTCAAGACAAATCCGGAGTATCTCAGACATCTCACCTCAGGCATGTCCAGGAATAAGCACAGAAGGTGAAAGTGTCCCCCTCTCCTCAACCTGGCCAGAGAGTCTCACCATGTCTCATGCCTTCAAAGCCGAAACAAAACTCCCTAAGAAAACAGGTCCCCCTGCTCAAGGGGTGTTCAGTTTCACTGGAAAACACTGAAAAACGATCAGAGCCTCTTCGAACTCAGGATAGATACAGATGGTCCCCAACTTACAAAGGTCCACCTTAAAATTTGTTGACCTTATAATAGTGTGAGAGCAATCCACATGCAGTAGAAAGCCTACTTCCAACTTTGAATTTTAATCTTTTCCTGGGCCTGCCGTATGTGGTATGATGCTCTCAGGTAATGCTGGGTAGTGACAGATCCTAGTCATTCGCGTGATCACCAGATACACTTAGAGCCATTCTGTGCCCAGACAACCATTGCTTTTCGCTTTTAGTACCACATCCAGTGAATAACATGAGGTATTCAACACTGCATTATGAAACAGGCTTTGTGTGAGATGATGTTGCCCAGCTGCAGGCTAATGCAAGTGCTCTGAGCACATTTAAGGTGGGCGAGGCTATGCTACTGTGTTCAATTGGTTAGGGGCATTAAATGCATTTTTGGCTTATGAAATTTTCAACTTGGGTTTAAAAGGTTTATGTGTAGGTACTTCTTCATAAGTGAAGGAAGATCTGTATTTATTTTTTAATGTTTATTTATTTTTGAGAGACAGAGAGAGTGTGAGCAGGGGAGAGGCAGAGAGAGAAGGAGACACAGAATCTGAAGCAGTCTCCAGGCTCTGAGCAGTCACCACAGAGCCCAATGTGGAGCTGAAACTCACGAACCTTGAGATCATTATCTGAGCTGAAGTCGGCTGCTTAACCAACTGAGCCACCAAGGGGCCCCGGAATATCTGTATTAAAAAAAAAAAAAAAAAAAAAAAAAAAATTTGTCATTCTCTGAGTAGAATTCAAGCTATAGGAAAACATAGTCTTCTAAGCAAATAGTGAGTAAATGGGAGGAACTGGGTGGTTCAGTTGGTTAAGCAGCTGACGCTTGGTTTTGGCTCAGGTCATGATCTCATGGTTTGTGAGATGGAGCCCCACATAAGGCTCCATGCTGAGCATGGAATCTGCTTAAGATCCTCTCATTTCCTCTCCTCTTGCCCCTCCCCCCTCAAAAAACCACATGAGTAAATGGAAAAATGAAATCCAATTCTGGCAGCTTTAGAAACTCATGTATTCTTCCATTCAACCAGTAGTTATTACACATCTTCTGTATTTAATTGAGCCACTTTGCAGGACAGTATGGGACACAAAAATGGAGAGTTCCTCTGCTTCCCAAGGAGGTGACACATGACTGGTCAAGATTGGTGAGGGGCACCTAGGTGTCGGTTAAGTCGGTTAAGCGTCCAACTTCGGCTCAGGTCATGATCTCATGGTTTATGAGGTCAAGCCCCACATCAGGCTCTGTGCTTACAGCTCAGAGCCTGGAGCCTGCTTCAGATTCTGTGTCTCACTCTCTCTCTGCCCCTCCCCGATTTGCACCATGTCTCTCAAAAATGAATAAATGTTAAATTTTTTTTTTAAAAAGATTGGTGGAGAAGTAATTTGCAGTATGAAGTGGGTTATATTGATGGCAGAGAGCAGGCCAAGGGCCCTCTGTGAATTAACTCATTGAACCCTCACAGTCTTATTAAAATAGTTTCTATAATTGTCTTTATTTTATAGATGAAGAAATTAAGGCACAGGGAAGGTGAGAAATTTGCCGAAGTCGGCAATTGGTAAGTGATGGGATTTGAATTCAAGCAGTTGTTGGAATGAAGGATAATTTGTTGATCAGTTGGCCTTGACATAGGACCCTAAGTTATGGTAGGCTTTAGTGACTAGAGTCATTCCAGAAGGAGGCTACTCTGTGGGCAAAGACAAGGACATAACATTTGAATAAATGAGTGGTGGTCCCATTTGATGAGTTCGGAGTTCTTGAAATGGATCAGTAAAAAATAATATATAAAGGGTCACTTTTAGAAATGCAGACTTCCTAGCGTGCCTTGGTGGCTCAATCGGTTGAGCATCTGACTCTTGATTTTGGCTCAGATCATGATTCCAGGGTCGTGGAGTCTGCTTAATTCATTCTCTCTCTCTCTCTCTCTCTCTCTTTATCTCTCTATCTCTCCCACCCTCCCTGCCCCATCTCCCATGGTATATATATATTGCAGACTTCTCTCTACAGGTAATAGGGAGTTATGGAAGATCTTTTAGCTGGAGTGATATGATCAGAGTTATACTTTAAAAAGAAAATGTGGTTCTTATACTATAGCCACTAAGTAAGTAGACAAAAAAAGAACATTTTCTGGCTGCATAATAGAATAATTAGTTATACTGCCTGCTTTATAAAATATATAATAGTTCCAAAATGATGGTTTCTTTATCATTGCTCACTTAGTCAAAAAAGTAGGAGTTCCTAACATCTCTGATTTAAGCAATGATTCAAGGAATTGGTCTTCTTTCAATCTTTGGCTTTGCCGTCTTTGACAGGTGATTTCCAAGTTCCCTGTGCCGTGTTTATCAAGACCTCAGAAGGGGCCAGAGAGTGGAGAAGGCACCTGCTTCTTAAGTTCTCCGATGACCTCTGCTCCGATTTCATTGGGAGGCTCAAGACCCGCTTAGGGGCACGGGGACAAGGAATGTGACTTGTGACCGAGCAGCCACTTCCATCTATGACTACACTGGGGAAAGGAAACATGAATTTTGGTGAAAGTCTATCACACCTGAATGAGGAAAAAAAAGCTTATTTACCCTTCAGCAATAACTTTTCAGAGCAGTCTAGCACCTCACTTTGAAGCATGGTTGAGGAATGAGTTTTATGAACAAATGAGGCTTAAAATAAAATAACATAAGCATAGTCCCTTTTAACACCAAATTGTATTTGTCTAAATTATTCTTGAAGGTTCCAAATTGATTTTATACATTCCTACCTAAGTGAACAAAGCTTAACTTAATTTAAGCTTTTCTTGATGATTTAGGATCCCCATTATGAATGTCACTTATTATAATGCAGTGTGTTGTATGCAGATGGCTTTTGAGTGGTGTGGAAATATTTGTTTCCGCACTGAATGCTTCCAGAATTCTAGGCTGGTCTGAATTTTCTCTTTAGTCTTCCTGTCCCCTTAAGAATTGTTACAGTCACTGTGTTGTCTCAGTGCCTCTAATGTCTATGTTTTCCAATGCTTTTTGCATTCTCCCACCATCCTTGTCATCTACTGGTTGCTACCTGCTGTAGATTTTCTTTCTTCTTCTCTCCAGACCCTTCAATCTTCTTTTCTTTACAAATCTTCCACTCAACTCTGTTTTGTCTGTTCTAGTGGACGGAGCATGCCCACACTTGGGAGTGGGATTGACCCAGCTGCCAAACAGGCTGTGCCTTAGAAAGTCTAGGACCTTTAACAATTTAACCTTGAACCTCTATTTCCTCAAATATAAGCCAAGGTGGGAGGTAATATGAACCTTGCCAGTTTACTTTAGAATTTAACTGAGGTCGTAATGATTATAATAATATAAAAAGTTTCTTGATGACAGTTGGTGGTCATTACTGTTGTTATTTTGGCACTTACAGGGCCAGGTTCTTAGTAGCACTATCAATAGAAATAAAACAATCCACAGGATTCCAGGGAGTTGGAATACAGTATGAACGAAGGAAGAGCTAGAATAGAGGAGACATCTCCACTGAGTAGAACTGAAGCCACGAGTCAGGATCCTGAACGTCTCCAAGGAGTTAGGGATCTGCTAACATGCTTGAGTGTAATCTAGAAAGAGATCTGAAAATATGGACAAAGTCAAAAGAGGAGTATCAAGAAAAGAAGGAGACTGGATAAAAATCTTCTCTGGTTCTGTTTTGTTTTGTCCAAAAAAAGGCACCTCTTCCAAAAAAAAAAAAAAAAAAAAAGAACTGAAACTCTCTTCAGCGATCAATGCTACCTTCATCCACTCCCAGGCTTCTTGAAAAAGCCCAGAGCTTCTTGCTGGGAACAGCTTCCCTGCATTTTACAACCTCGCCAGGTCGAGGCGTAGCCAGAGGAGTGAAGGCAGTTGCATCCTGGGCAGCGGGCCCAAGAGTTTCCATTACACAGAGAGTAGGTACTTAATAACTAGGTATTGAGCAAATGAAAAGGGAAAAGAAGAAAAGGTGATTTTTCACTAATACAAAGTAAGTAATTCTGTGGCCCAGAGGATGCATGATGTTTAGCAAATTAAAGCAGGTGGCAAAGTACCTCCCTAGTGTGTACATCACAGCTAATGTCCATCAGTGGTCAGCAAATGAGTATACTGTGCCAGCATCAATAATCCTGTTCTTGGCTTTGTGCTTTATTTATTTAACTAATGGCTGCCTTACTGGTAGCGCATCATGATGGTGTTTACTGAGCTTGGCAAAGTTAAAAATTATGATTTTGTTTACTTGTGTGTTTCCAGCTGGGGTGCTGAGTTGTTATTCAGGCTGCTGATGACCATTCTTCCACTCTCGGAGCCCCTAAAGTAGGCAGTTCAATAAACAAGCCATCAGCTCGAGAACCAAAGTGTCAACACTGACACAATCTGGTTATTTGCTACTTGGCAGTAGTCAGTGTCCAGAGCCTCAAATAATGACTCATTTTGAAAACTCCCTTATGCTTAGATAATAAAGTGAATAGAATGTAAGGCTACAGTGATCAGTTCAGTTTGTACTACTCAGCTTCTGTGAGAAGATTAAGTATATGCACTAAATTAAATATTTGATTTTAGATGATTGTGTCTCTTGGTCTATACTTGGGCACACCAAATGGAAGTGAAAACCAAAGAGAAAGCTTGGGTGAGTCTGTGGTTCTAGAATGCTCCCCTTACCCGCAGGAACTAATTTAGCTACTTGTGCAGCAAATATTTAATGATAACCTACTATATATTAGGACCTGGGGAAGTAAAAGTGACCTAAACCCAACAAATACATGAACCCAGTTTTTTTAAGTTTCATTTTGAGAGACAGAGAGAGTCAGGGAGGTGCAGAGAGAGAGGAGAGAGAATCCCACGCAGTCTCCGTACCTATCAGAGCGGAGCCAAATGCCAGGCTTGATCCCATGAACTGTGAGATCATGATCTGAGCTGAAATCAAGAGTCAGAGGCTCAGCCTACTGAGCCATCCAGGTGCCCCAACATGAACCCAGTTCTTAAGACCCTTGCCATTTTGTGGGGAAGAGAGACACTGAATTAGTGATTACAGACATGGTGAGAATTATAAAGGGAAAAACAGAGTGCTAAGCTAGTCCTGGAATTTAGAGACGTTTCTCTGAGGATCTGATGCTTTGAATGAGTGATGAAGGAATTACAAAAGTCAGGAGAGAGGAAGTAGGGAAGGGGGACTTTGAATGTTATTATTATTTCAATACAGCCACAAAATAACACTGTGAGGTAGATATTATTGTTCCAGTTTACAACAGAGGAAGTGCAGTTTCCAGAGAAAGCATGTGTAAAGGCTCCGAGGCAAAGCAGTATGAATAGTGCCACTTGGACTACAAAGTCAAAGTCAGTATGGGGCGCCTGGGTGGCTTAGTTGGTTAAGCGTCCGACTTTCGCTTAGGTCATGATCTTGCGGTTCATGGGTTCGAGCCCCGCATCGGGCTCTGTGCTGACTGCCAGCTCAAAGCCTGGAACCTGTTTCAGTCTGTGACTCCCTCTCTCTCTGACCCTCCCCTGCTCACGTTGTCTCTCTCTCTCTCTCTCCTAGAAATAAATAAAACATTAAAAAAAAATCTTAAAAGTCAGTGTGATTGGAGTATGGAGAGCTGCAAGGGGTGAGGATACAGAACTTAGCAAAGTATGAGGGTTTAGTGGCCACTGGAAAGAACTTGCCTCAAAGCAATTGGAGGAAACTAAGGAATTTGGGGATTTAGGGACCCCTAACATTTAGGTTGTAATTATGTGCATTTTAGAGAGACCACCTTGGCACCTGTGGATATTCGAAGTGTATGTGGGAGGACTGGCAGTGATCCGGTGAACATAGCGGGTTGAGCCAGGGGTGGGGTCAAGGGGAACTGAGGTACAGGTGGGTAGAAAAGATCAAATTCACCAGAGATACAACAGGTTGAGTTTGTGGCTCGGTGAGTGACTGGATACAAAGAGGGTCAGGAAACCAGTTATTCAAGAGATTTCCTTTTTGTATCTGTAACAATGAAGCCATGAGTGTAGTACTATTTACACCTTATTGTGCGATTACCATACCATTTTACAGATGAGAAAATTGAGGCTGAGAGTAGGGAAGTACCTACCAATAAATGACTTAACTGAGATTTGAACCCAGGTCTGACTCCCAAGCCAATGTGCTCTTTCTACTTTAACTACAGATTTAATCTTCTGTCCAGTTAGAATTTTTTTCTCATTTGGTCTGCTGTAACCATAGCTTTTTGCCCCCCTCCAACTATATGTGGAAGTCCCAAATTCTCATAATTCTGTTACTTGTGACCATCCACTATCAGTTACCTTCCCAGATTTGGACTCTGCTGTGTTTATGGTAAGCCTTTGCAAATGCGGCAGAGGCCAGAGAAGCCAGTTTTGTGGAATCTGGTTTGTCTGGCGGCATTAAATATCACCTTCCTCTAATAAAAATGCAGCTTTTTGTTTGTTTTAATGAGCACAGGGGGCCTTTATATCCAGTCTCCTCTTAGAGGAAGTAATTGCATATGGGAGTGACCTTTGAAGGAAATCACAGCAGGGAATTAACTGAAAGGCTGCGGGGTGAGCCAGTGTGTAACATCAGCCCCGTACTAGCATGCCAGAGAAGAAACAGGCTCGAGAAATGGGCTTGTCTCTCTGACAACTCATCCACACCTTTTCTGGACAGAGAAGAATCATCTACTGCTTGCAGAGAAAGTGAGGAAGTGAAATACCTCATGCATACATCACGATCTCTGCTCTCATGGCACTCGTGTTTTAGTGGCAGGGACAGACAATAAAGAAATTAAAAATGTAAATCATTAGAGGCCGTGGTGGGTGCCAGAGGACGTAAACAGGATCGTGAATAACAGGATCATGATAAACTTGTAGCTCAACTTCCTCATCTGATAAAAATGAGAACAATGGTAGAACCTTCCTTTCAAGGCTGTTTTCAGGATTAAGTTCGATGCTGTATGTATTGCTATCCAGCTGAACTCTTTGTCAGTGTTATATGTGGTTAATAGCACAGAACGCTGTTATGTGATAAGTGGGGGGAGGCCGCTTCCAATTAAAGCAGTCAGAGAGGGCCTCCTGGAGGAGAAGACTTTTAAGCTGAGACCTGAGAGATGAAAAGGAGTGGGGCATGTGAATAATCGAAGAAGCTAAGTCCAGACACAGAGGAGGAATGAACGCCTGATGTATCCCAGTGGCAGAAAGGGGATCAGGAGTCTGTGGGGCTGAGAACAGCAAGTGAAGTGAGCTGAGGGCCATGAGGCGGCGAGATTCCAACCAGGCAAACAATTTGCAGTTTACTCTTCAAGTGGGGAAGGAGGGTGGCGTGCCCTGTACTTTAAAATTCTCACCCTTGCAGCTTTGTGGAGCGTGCGCTATAAGAGAGAAAGCCGCCAGACCCTGAAGAAGGACTGGTAGGTGGGGGGCCAGTAGGGTGGTGGGAGGCAGGGGGCAAACTGTGTTGGTAGCAGTGTATTTGTTTCCAGAGCTGCCAGAACAAATGACCACAACCTGGTTGTCTTACGACCACTGAAATGTGTTCTCTCACGATATATATGGCAGCTGGAAGTCTGAGATCAAGGCAAAGACTTTCCCCTTAGCAAAACCAGGCTCTCCCTGAAAGCTGTAAGGAAGACTCCTCCTACCTTGCACCTGACAGCTTCCTCAGTGTCCATCGGCCAGCAGAGGCCTCAGTGCATTCTC